ACCTCACCTCCCACTGTCTCTCTGATCACATATCCTATCATTCTTGCTGTCCCCCACTCCCTGCTCACACATGTATATGCACGACTTCTTTTTTTTTTTTTTTAGATTTATTTGAAATTCAGGGTGACAGCCAGAGAGCGAGTGAGAGAGGGAAAGATATCTTCCATCTACTATTTCATTCCTTAAATGGCAGACAACAACCAGGTCTGGGGCAGGCTGAAGCCAGGAGTCAGGAACTCCACCGGGTGTCCCATGTAAGTAGCAAGGGTCCAAGTACTTGGGTCATCTTCTGCTACCTTTCCAGGTGCATTAGCAGGCAGCTGGATAGGGAATGGATCAGCCAAGACTCAAAACAGCACTGCTATATGGGATGTCTGTACCACAAACAGTGTTTTAATCCCCTGCACCACACGCTGGCCTGTGTTTCAGACATCTTGATTCCTTCCTCAGGCACACCTTAGATCCATTACACTTGTCATTGACTCATCCTGAAAGGCATTTCCCACAGATAGTTCAGGGCACACACGCTCAACTTCTTTGCTCAAATATCACCTTTCTGGAAGGCTTTCCTTGGTCACCCTATTTAAAATTGCCGGTCACCCAAGAACTACATATGCCCTTCCCTGCTTTATTTTTCTGCATAGTACTTACCCCAATTTGATACATTATATAAGTATGTTTTACTTATGTTATTGTCTGTCTCATCCAATTTGAATATTAGGTCCATGCTGGCAGATTTTTATCTATTTTCTTCACTGCTACTACATTCCTAGTACAAAAAAGAAATTTGATAACTAATTTTTTTCCATCTTAATACTTTATTAGGTGCTACACAGTTTTTGCCTGACCCCAAGCTCATGGATCACGGGCAGTCCCATCCAGAAGATGTAGATATGTACAGCACTAGAAGCTGAAATAAACGGCAAAGAGAACTACAACATGTATGACGTTGCAATTAATGTTGAAAAATCATGAAATGGGTAACTGATGCATAGAGCATAACTTAAATCAAGTTATTCCCTGACGTCTTCAAATGCACAGTTTGATTAGTCACATAAGTGATTAAAACACAACCTGTGAATGAAATCAAATGATATTAAATGATTGATGAGGAGACACAAATATTGGGCTGCATTTGTTGACTTTAGAAGATATTTAAAAAATGCAGATATGAGCACCAGTGAGACTAAAATCTGAGATGTGAATGCATTTATAGACATATTTATATGTACACACATGTATATCTGCTCTAACTTTGCTAAATTCATGTCAGTTAAATTAGAGTGGTGTGTGGAAAGATGTGTCCACCTGTTTTGTTTTTATTTCCCAGCACTGGAATAAAATAACAATATTTTGTGGCACATGGGCTTGGCTTTGTCTGTTTTATTAATGTTAATACTCTTCATTTTCTGGAAGCATCTCTATTTAGGAAGACTATGTGCTACCAGGGCATCGTAATGCTGCTTAACTCCTTCTACTGCTTCCTAGGTGGTTCACTGTTCTGTTCCCCAGAAGAAGTATTACAAACTTTTTAGTCTTCTCAAACCTCTTATGCTTGCCAAAGTTGACTAGGTCTCTTATTTCATAGGGGAAAACAAGTCAGTTATGAGACATGATCACTCTCAACTACTTCAAGACTTACCTCTTTTCAGCCATGCATCCCTCTTTTCTTTTCTTTTTTTTTTTTAAGATTTATTTATTTATTTATTTGAAAGACAGTTACAGAGAGGCAAAGGCAAAGGCAGAGAGAGATCATTAACTGGTTCACTCCCCCAAATGACCACAACAGCTGAAGCTGGGCTGATCCAAAGCCAGGAGCCAGGAGCTTCTTCCAGGTCTCCCATGTGGGTTCAGGGACACAAGCACTTGGGCCATCTACTACTGCTTTCTCAGGCCATAGCAGAGAGCTGAATTGGAAGTGGAGCAGCCAGGACTTGAACTGGCACCCACGTTGGGATGCCAGCACTGCAGGCGGCAGCTTTACCCGCTATGCCACAGCACCAGCCCCCATCCTCCTTTTCTAAGTCTAACGCTTCTATGTTTGTACCTGATCTCATTCCTTGCCATCTTTTCCAGAGCCACATTCCACCCTGTTTAATCTTCAGTCTTTGGTCTCTCTTTTCACTCATTTCTTTTCCTCAAACTCTAAATAGCTTACTATCTTCAATAACAGAAACAACACCAAAACCTTTCTTTAATTCTGCCTCTCCCCTTGAACTTTTCCTATGATTGACATTCTTTAAAAAGTAGTTAAAGTCCTTTTCTTCCTTATTCACTTTTAGTCTGGCCTCTATAACACATTTGAATTTTTATATAATTATTGAATCTTCACCACTCCCTCCTTGAAACACTTTCCTCCCTTTGCTTTCTGTCATTCCTGCTGTTTCTGTTCTTCATTCTTCTTTTGCTTTGGATCCTTTAAATGCTAAGGCTCCTTACTTTGTATCCCTTGTCCATTTTCTCATTCTGTGTGTTCTCTCATTTTCATTCAACAAATTTCGCTTGTTTCAGCTACTATTTACGTCATTATTCATATTTTGTGCCTTCGCATTTCTCCAGTGCTGCTATAATCTTATGTTTCTATTTACTAATTATATCCACCTAATGCCTCTTCGATATCCCAGTGTCAATGTACTTAAAACTAAGTTGTCTCTATCTCTCTCTCCTTATTTCTCAATTGTTTCTACCTTCTCTAATCCTGTCACTGCTCTCATTCAAGTCTTCTATTATCACTTTCTGAAATACCACAGTAGCCTCCTGGCTACTGCTCACCATCAGTCTTGTTCTCTCCCACTTGTGACTGTGTTCCTTTTGCAAATAACAGTAAATCAGTTAACAGGGCTTGAACAAATGATAATCTATTTAAAGCCTGGAATTAGGCATTGCAGAGTTGGTAGAATGACTCAGTACCATCAAGGACCTGGACTTTTTCACTTTCCACTGTGCTCTTGGTAGCATGTTAGTTTTTCACCTTATGATCACAAGATGGCTATTGTACTTCTGGGAAACACATACACATTGAAAATAGGAAGGGGCAGGGTACAGTGTGCACAAGTTTCTTCCAACAGTGTTTTATCTTAAAGTAAATGCTTGGCATTTTCTCAGAATATTTCTGTATGTATGTCAACTCAAACTTGTCATATAGTCACACACACTTAGCTCAGGGAAGATGGGGGAATCATGTTTTGTTGTTGTTTGTTTTTTCCTGTATTGAGAAAGACAAGGGATAAGGGTTTGGGAACAGGTGTTGAGTTTGAGCTGACACCTGGTGTCTGCCACCTGATTCTTCTAATCCATATGCTGTATTATTATGGCATAGTAGTAGTCTGACAACTATTACAGTTGGCTGGTTCTTTGAAATTTGTGGCCTGTCGCTGCCTATAGAATCAAATCAAAACTCCTTAGTATTACATACAAGGACGTTCATATCTTATCCCGGCTTACCTTCTTATCTTTCCTCTCCCCAGCCACCCTACTGCCAATGTATCTTACACTGTCTCTATCATGTACCATTTGTTTCTTGAACATGCTTTGCTCTTTATTGTTTTTCTCTACCAGCATATGCTAGTGTCTCCTTTTAGAATGCTTTTATATCTCATTTTGCTCCAAATTTTAACTTCCTACTCATTGTTCAAATCCAGTTCCAACGTCACCTTTTTCAGTTCTCCCAGGTATGATTTAGATGTTCTCCCCTCTCCACTCCCTTGCACTTGGAGTTTATAGATCTGATAGCCCATACAGTTTATTGTAATGAATATTTTCTCTAGGAAAGTTTGCTATGGGTATAGCTAAATCACTTTTGTGTGGTATCTATGCCCATTAAATAGGTGCCTGATACAAAGAACTCCACCATGCTGGTTGCAACATAGAATATAAAAATAATTATAATCCCATAAAGAGTTTAGACTCTACCAGGAAGGAAAGAAACATTCACAAATACAATGATATATGTGGCATCTTCCCTAAGATAAGCACAATCAAAGCTGTAGATATTCAGAGATGGAATGTAGCTCTGGGATGATGCCAAGGAGGCAGTGACAAGGCACTTTACTTGATGGTTATTCACAAATAATCTCTTCAGAGCTTAGTTCCAATATTTGAAATGAATTTTCTTTAAAATATTTTTTAAAGACTTGTTTATTTGAAAGGCAGAGTTAGAGCTTTCATCCACTGGTTCATTCCCCAGATGGCCACAATGGGCAGAACTGGACCATGGACAAACCCAGAATACCAGAACTCCAAATGGGTCTCCAATGTGGGTGGCAGGGTCCCAAACACTTGGGCCATCTTTAACTGCTTTCCCAGGCACATTAGCAAGGAGCTGGGTTGGAAGCAGAGCAGCTGGGACTCAAACCAGCTCTCATATACAATGCCAGTGTTGCAGGCAGCGGCTTAACCCACTGCAACACAACACCAGCCCCAGAAACGATTTTTTTTAAACCTCATATATATCTTATACTCAAACACGTCTATTTTTCATCAAATACAAAACATCTTATTCATTTAAGAAAAAATAATGCTACTAGCTTATGCTTACACTTATCCCAATTTCAGATAAATAGTCCAGGGGCTGCCATTGTGGCTTAACATGTTAAGCCACCATCTGTAGCCCTGGCTTTGCATATGGGTACCGGTTCAAGTCCTGGCGGCTCCACTTTGAATCCAGCTCCCTGCTAATGCACATGGAGAGAATAGTCAAAGTCCTTGGCCCTCTGCATCCACTTGGGAGACCCAGAAGAAGCTCCTGATGTCTAGGCCCAGGCCATTGTAGCCATTTGGGGAGTGAACCAGCGGGTGTTAAGATTCTCTCTCTCTAACTGGCTTTCAGATAAATAAAATAAATCTTAAATAGTCCAAAGCCAAGTAGAAATGATTTTTGAATTATCTTTGCTTCTGGATTATCAGATCTGCTACTAGCCATTAGCATGTTACTTTGTATTATATAATTGGCTGTATCTACAAAATATGTTTCATAGTAAAAGATCCGCTCAAACAGAATGTTATGATCACTTGCTTTATTGTACAACATTCAAAGTCAAACTGCTGTTGGACTAAGATGACATGCAAATGTTGGAGCCCATATTGGGCCTGGTTATTACAAGGCCTTTCTCATTCTTCCTCTGCCATTTCCAAGAGTTCTTCTCGGTTAAACCTGAACAAATGCCAGCCCTCCTCAGAGGAAAGGTCTAAAGCCCCTCGACAAGTGTAGTACTCAATCGAAGCCTGGTTCCAAATGATGACAAGAAACTGCATGCCATTACACTGGGTTCTGAGGGCTATCTGTTTAAAAAACAAAATTAAATACTACTTTTATTTGGAAGTATAGTCTTACATTTTTTTAAACTTTTATTTAATAAATATGAATTTCCAAAGTACAGCTTTTGGATTACAGCAGCTTTTTCCCCCCATAACCTCCCTCCCACCTGCAACCCTCCCATCTCCCACTCCCTCTCCCATCCCATTTACATCAAGATTCATTTTCAATTATCTTTATATACAGAAGATCAATTTAGTATATACTAAGTAAAGATTTCAACAGTTTGCACCCACACAGAAACACAAAGTATAAAGTACTATTTGAGTACTAGTTATACCATTAATTCACATAGTATAATACATTAAGGACAGAGATCCTACATGAGGAGTAAATGCACAGTGACTCCTGTTGATTTAACAATTGATACTCTTGCTTAACACTTTTTTTGAAGGTCTACTATAAGCAAGATACTACATTGCATCAAAATTCTACACTGTGCATAATACTATCACTAAACAGTGATATTGTAGTTAACTCTTGGACTGCTGTATAGCTATGAATAAAGTCCCACCATTAGGAATTTTAAAACCCATCTCTCTAAAAGCCCAAAACTGATTAGCAGAGTCTTTATTCCACAAAAAGTTTATCTAAAAGAATATGTGTTTTCTTATATGTTTCCAAATATAAGAGAATCTTGCATTTATATTATTCTCATATCCTGTGGACCTGTTTTATGGGTAAGATTACCTTCTAATTTCCCTCATGCTTGCTTCTGCTTGATAGTTTAAAAATGTATAGTGTGGTTGTGCATTTATATGGATCAATTTTCAATTAAGTATAACTCTAACTTATGTATCTCATTTGAACATCCAGTTTAATTTGTAAAAAAACTTTGAAATATATTTTGAGATTATGTTTAGATGATGAAATTACTGCATTCCCTGTAAAATAATTGCTTAAGAAAAGGATAATGTATAGAATATCAGTACTAATTGTAATACATACCTGAGTTAACAGTTTTAGTATTTCATCTCCAATACCTAGACCTGTTAAATACATAATGTAAAATGAAAACTGTAAGTTGAAAAGTTCCATTTAACAACTTATTTGCTTTAATCTAAAAAAATATAAAGCCTTCTGTCTGATTATTATTTTTTTGACAGGCAGAGTGGACAGTGAGAGAGAGAGACAGAGAGAAAGGTTTTCCTTTTTCCCTTGGTTCACCCCCCAATGGCTGCTGCGGCCGGCGCACCACGCTGATCTGAAGGCAGGAGCCAGGTGCTTCTCCTGGTCTCCCATGCGGGGGTGCAGGGCCCAAGCACTTAGGCCATCCTCCACTGCACTCCCTGGCCACAGCAGAGAGCTGGACTGGAAGAGGGGCAACCGGGACAGAATCCGGCGCCCCAACCGGAACTAGAACCCTGTGTGCCGGTGCCGCAGGCGGAGGATTAGCCTATTGAGCTGCGGCACCGGCCTGATTATTTCATATATATTTTTAAAGATTTATTTGAGAGGTGGAGAGAGAGCTTTTTAATTTTTATTTTTATTTAGTTTTTAACAGATTCAATATGGTTTGTAGATGCAATTCTAAGGACATAATGGTATTCCCTCTATCTCTCCTCCCTCTCCCTCTGTGTCTTTTTTACCCTCCCTTCTCCATTTCCTTTTTTTAGTTTTTGAGTTAACCTATTTTAAATTTAGATTACAGTAAAAAAGCTTAATACTTCACCGAATAAGTTTTAACAAGTAAAAACAAAAACACCCTAGTTTAGTGGGAATGTAGACAACAGCTATAAACAATAATTGAATGGAAAAATAACCACTTCACCCATATACAGTAAATGTGAAAGTAAATATTAAATGTTCACAGATCATTAAAACTATAGTAGTATCATATTAACCATTCAAAATAAAGTTTCACAAAACTCTATTTGCAGCAATACTAACACAGTTGAATGGATAAAGAAAATGCAATATGTATACACAATGGAATACTATTCAGCTATAAGAAAAGAATGAAATTCTACCATTTGCATCAAAATGCGTGCAGCTGGAGGGCATCATGTTGAGTGAAGTAAGCCAATCACAGAAAGACAAATACCTCATGTTTTCCTTTATATGTGGGTGCTAAAATTTAAAAAACCAAAAAGCCACAACAGCCAGGGCTGGGCCAGCTGAAGCCAGGATCCAGGTGTTTCCTGTGGTTGCAGGGGCCCAAAATTCTTGGGCCATCTCCCACTGCTTTCCTAGGCACATAAGAGGGGGGGTTGGATTGGAAGTGGAGCAGCCAGGATTCAAACCATCACCCTATATGGGATGTGGCAGCTTTACCTGTCATGCCACAATGCCACCCCCTATTGTATATCCTTAATGGCTTATGTTGAAATGCAACTTGAGAGTGCTTTTCATGTCTCTTCTTCCTAATTGGAATGTGATACCAAAGGTAATGGAAAAGAATTTGAGTTTGCAGATCAGTGAAGAATAAATGAGTCTGTTTCAGTATTGTCTCATAACAGGGTACATTTCTTGTCTAGTTCTACTCAAGCCAACCTAAAAAGCAACAGTATTTTTTAAAGATAAAAGTACAGCTATGCTAGATGGTCTTATTCAAACCTCAATAAGAGCTAATAAAATGTTTTTTTTCTAATCTGTGATTGAGTCTTCACTACATGCAAGGATAACTAAGATAATGATTTGGCTCATGAAATAGAAATGAGTTATAAAAACCAACTTAAGGCCGGCACCGTGGCTCAATAGGCTAATCCTCCGCCTGCAGCACCGGCACACTGGGTTCTAGTCCCAGTCAGGGTGCCAGATTCTGTCCTGGTTGCTCCTCTTCCTGTCCAGCTCTCTGCTGTGGCCAGGGAGTGCAGTGGAGGATGGCCCAAGTCCTTGGGCCCTGCACCCGCATGGGAGACCAGGAGGACTCACTTGGCTCCTGCCATCGGATCAGTGTGGTGCGCCGGCCACAGCGCGCAGGCCACAGCGGCCATTGGTGGGTGAACCAATGGAAAAAGGAAGACCTTTCTCTCTGTCTCTCTCTCTCTCACTGTCTAAATCTGCCTGTCAAAAAACAAACAAAAAAACTAACTTAAGCACCATATTTATACTATAGCCCTATCTCTGCTCCTTAAATTAAAATACACATTTTAATTGTTAAGGTATTTATAAATAGTATTTATAGTTTTACCTCGGTAAGCTTGTGTGACATAAAAGTCCTCTAGGTAAAGTAACTTGCCTTTCCAGAGATCGTACGTGAAGTAGTACATGGCAAATCCAATGATCATTTTCTCTAGGATGAGGAAGAAATTAAAAAAGAGATTAATGCTTTAAATCTTAGAAAATTCTTTCCCCCAAAATGGGACATTTTGGGTGTTTATTAGTTTAAATATTAAATTAATAAATGTTCACTGAGCAAAATATCAAAGAATGCAGAAATGTATCATACAGAAAGTTAAGTCCCTTATAATAAACCTTTAAGAGACAAGAGACAAGCCTTCTTTTTACACAGTAGTGTTATGTTGTTTTTTTTTTTTTTTTTTAATATTTACTTGTAAGAGAGTTACAGAAAGAGTGGGAGAGACACAGAGTGATCTCATCTGTTCACTGGTTCACAGTCAGGGCTAGGCCAGGCCGAAGCCAGAAGCCTGGAAATCCATCTGGGTCTTCCACATGGATGCTGGGGCCCAAGCACCCACCATCTTCTGCTGCCTTCCCAGAAACATCAGCATGGAGCTGGATCAGAAGTGGAACAGCCTGGACTCAAACAGGTGCTCGCCTGCTGTGCCACAACACTGGCCCCACAGAGTGGTGTATGTTCTTCCAAAAATTATGTTAATGTGGGATCGGTGTTGTGGCACACAGGGTTAAGCTGCTGCTTGTTACAACAGTGTCCCATGTGAGTGCTAGTTCTTGTCCTTGCTGCTCCAATTCTGATCCAGCTCTCTGCCAATGCAACTGGGAAAACAGAAGATGGCCCAGGTACTTGGGCCCCTGTCACCCACGTGGGAGACTCAGACGAATCCCCTGGCTCCTGGCTGGCTTGGGCCTGTGCTAGCCTCAGCCATTGCGGCCATTTGGGGAATGAACCTGCACATAGAAGGTCTGTCCCCCTGTCTCTGTAGCTGTGTCTTTCAAACAAATAAATATTTTTATTTATTTGAAAGTTAGGGAGAGATAGAGAGAGAGAGAAAGAGAAAGAGAGGGGTCACTCCCCAAATGGCTGCACAGCCGGAGCTGAGCTGATCCCAAGACAAGATCCAAGAGCTTCTTCCAGGTCTCCCATGTGAGTGCAGGGGCCCAAGGACTTGAAGCTTCCTCTGCTGCTTTCCCAGGTGCATCAGCAGGGAGCTAGAATGGAAGCGGAGCAGCCGGGACTCAAACTGGTGCCCACATGGGATGCCAGCTCTGCAGGCCAGGGCTTTAACCTGCCGCACCACAGTGCTGGCCCATAGATAAATCTTTTATAAAAATGATGTTATATATATGTTATATATACGAACACAATACATACCACAAACTTCCTGTTTTAAAAGTAGTAAAAATGAGTTTATACATGTTTTGCTCACTTAAAAGTAATTGTACTCATGGGGCTGGTCTTGTTGCATAATGGGTAAAGCCACGACCTGTGACACTGGCACCTCATATGAGCACTGGTGCCACTCCACTCAATTTTTTAAAAGATTTATTTATTTACTTGAAAGAAGGAGAGGCAGAGAGAGAGACACACACACAGAGAGATGGATGTCTTCTGTCCACTGGTTCACTCCCCAATTGGCCACTACAACCGGAGCTGCACCGATCCAAAGCCGGGAGCCAGGATCTTCTTCCAGGTCTCCCACGCAGGTGCAGGGGCCCAAGGAGTTGGGCCATCTTCTACTGCTTTCCCAGGCCATACCAGAGAGCTGGATCGGAAGAGGAGCAGCTGTGACACGAACCAGCGCCCATATGGGATGGTGGCACTATAGGCAGTGGCTTTTACCTGCTACACCACAGTGCCAGCCCCACTACTCCACTTCTCATCCAGCTCCCTGCTGATAGGCCTGGGAAAGCAGCAGAAGATACACCAGGTCCTTGAGCCCCTATAACCCACATGGAAGACCCAGATGGAGTTCCAGGCTCCTGGTTTTGGCTTGGCCCAGCCCTGGCAGATATGGCCATTTGGGGAATGAGCCAGGGAATGGCTGTAACTCCCGCTGTAACTCTGCCTTTCAAATACATAAATATATCTTTAAAAATAATAATTATATGCTATGTAACAGTACTTTGTTTTTAGGATTTAGAAAATATATTCCAGATTCAATGGGAGAAGGAAGGTTTACTTTACCTGTTGGTTTACGTGGATTGTGTACTTCTGCAATCAGGCAGTAGAAAAGAGGATTTTCCCCAAATCCATCCCTGAGCAAATCTGAAATGATAATTCACATACAGTAGTCAATTTACAGGTGAGGGGGAAAAGATAGTGGAATAGGAAGTGACAGGAACTCACCTCTACCTCTACTGGCACAAATGCTCTGAAGTAAATATTTTTAAACTCCAGAGTTTATTTGAACACTTTTAATTTCCAGAAGACAGCCTGACTGGTAGACTTCAGTTAACTTAGGTAAAATTTGGCTATCAGTGTAGTGGTGGCTACCCATTGCTCACCATGAATGACGAGGAAAGACACAGGCTCAGGAAAGATTTGAGAACATATTAAGCTTTCAACTCAGGCTGATCCCTAAGTGATCTTGTATTCAATGCAATCCCTATCAAAATTTTAGCACTCATTTCACAGAAATTCATATGGAATTCAATGGGACCCCAAAATGACCACAAAAAAAATCTTGCAAAAGAATAAAGTTGAAGTACTCAAACTTCCTCACTTTGAAAACCACTACCAACTTCAGCAATTAAACCATATGGTACTGGCAGAAGAACAGACATATAGACCAATAAAACAGCACAGAGTACCCAGAAATAAACTCATAAATCTGATCAATTGACTTTGATAACAATGCCAAGATCATTCAATGGGGAAAGGACTGTCTTTTAAACAGCAGGTGCTGGGAAAAGTGGAGATCCACATGCAAAATAAGGAAGTTGAACCCTTATTTTGCATCATATACAATTTAGCTCAAAATGAATCAAAAAGCTCAATGCTAGCACTAAAATTATGAAATGCTTAGAATAAAATATGGAGAATCTTCAAGACATTGCATTTGGCAAGGATTTCCTCCTATTACTCCAAAAACACATGCAACAAAGAGACCAATAAATAAATTATCAAAATGAAAAGCATTTGTGCATAAAAGGACACTGTCAAGAGAGTAAAAAGACAACCTCCAGGAGTGTGAGGAAATATTTGTAAATCATATCTCAAAAGAGATTGATATTCATAAAAGCTCCTATAACTCAACAAAAACCTGATCGAAGAGCATAAGTAGACATTTCTCAAAGGAGACACAAATGGTCAGTAAATACATAAACAATGCTGATCACTAAGACAATGGAAACCAAAATTACATTAAATACCACTTCATGCCTGTTAGGATGGGAATTTTTTTTTTTAGATTTTATTTATTTGAAAGGCAGAAATACAGAGAGGAGAGACACAGAGAGAGGGATCTTCTGCTGGTTCACTCCCCAAATGCTCACAACAGCCAAGGCTGCGCCAGGCCAAAGCCAGGAGCCAGGAGCTTCTGGGTCTCCCATGTGGATGCAGGGGCCCAATCATTTGGGCCATTTTATGCTACTTTCCCAGGCACATTAGCAGGGAGCTGGATCAGAAGCGGAGCAGCCAGGACTTGAACCTATGCTCATATGGGAGGTAGACGTCGCAAGCAGCAGCTTAACCTGCTACGCCACAACGCCGGTCTCAGGATGAGAATTATTTTAAAAATAAAGTCATTGTTGGTGAGGATATGGAGAAATTGGAGTCCTTGTGTATTTCTGGTGAGGATGTAAAATGATGAAGCTGTTGTTGAAAACAAGATGAAAGTTTCTCAAAAATTATTATTTGATGCAGCAATTCTACTTCTTGGTTTATTTCCAAAAGAATTGGAAGCAGGAACTCAGGTACTCATACTCTTCTATGTTTTAGTAAACAACTCTGTTTCTAGTCTTTTCCATTTGTAATTTCATTCATATTAATGATCTTTTCTCTTAGCATTCCTATTCACTGCCTTAAAAATTCTAATATATTATAGATCCAGTAATCTTGTTAATATTACTGGCAATCAAAATGTAGTACATACTTTGAGAATATATTTTAAATCATTTTGCTTTTACTTATTCCATCCGCTCAAGCTATTACCAACATACCAAGTGGTAAATTATACATTTTGACCAATAATACTTCTTGTTCTACATTTTGAAAACCAGTTGAAGTCTATCATATCTGCAAAGGTGTAAGAGCTGTTAAATATCATACTAAAATGGGGAAAATATAAAATAGTAGAACACTAAAAAGCTATCAAGTTTATGTCCTGTACACAGAGCTGCTGTTAATGACATCATCTTTGTTTACCAAGAACAGCAGCTTCCACATACGTAAGTACAAGTAATATTATGTGCAAACACCCATGTTTCTTTTTCTTGTTCAAAAAGACCCAAAATATTACCTGTTATTGTTAACTTCACTGCACCTTTCATGTTATCACAGGCAGCCAATTCCTGTCAAAGTAGAGAAAACTTTCAGATTATGATTTTATTTATTTATTTATTTTTGAAAGGCAGAGTTAGACAGTGTTGAAAGTCATACTAGAATTTTTAAATCTAAAACAGCCATCAAAAACAATTATAGATTATTATTTATATTATTTTATTTTATATATTATTTATTGTATATTGCATATATATGAGAGAGACATGATTAACCATATTGGTACCTCACTCATATGAAGGTCAACTAGCCAGACTACTAGCCTTGAATACAACTGGAACATGGGAAAAAAAACAAAAACAGTTTCTGAACATTCAAGGCAGATGTCACACATTTTATGAAACTTTGGGGATTTTGACTAGTTTTTTTTTTTTTTTTTTTACAGGCAGAGTGGACAGTGAGAGAGAGAGAGACAGAGAGAAAGGTCTTCCTTTGCCGTTGGTTCACCCTCCAATGGCCGCCGCGGCCAGCGCGCTGCAGCCGGCGCACCGCGCTGATCTGAAGGCAGGAGCCAGGTGCTTCTCCTGGTCTCCCATGGGGTGCAGGGCCCAAGCACTTGGGCCATCCTCCACTGCACTCCCTGGCCACAGCAGAGAGCTGGCCTGGAAGAGGGGCAACCCGGGACAGAATCCGGCGCCCCGACCGGGACTAGAACCTGGTGTGCTGGCGCCACTAGGTGGAGGATTAGCCTATTGAGCCGCGGTGCCGGCCAACCGATAGAGTTTTGAGCATTTTGGTTGCTATGTGGAGAACTGATTGGGCAGAGAGGGCAATGACTGTTTATGTCATACCTCCCATAAGACACTGTAAACTCCTTGAGAGCAGAGACTAATTCAATAAATCATCATATCCTTTATACTACTAAGTACCTGTCCTTCCCATAATATATATTCAATGTTTGCACAATGAACAAAAATGAAATATTAATACTACCCACTGCTCCTCTGTGGATCACTATAGGTCCAAAGCCATACTTTGCGAACCACCACAATAAAAGGCTTTAGATAAAAGCCTGGTAAGCAAGAAGTTATGGCTGACTAGCTGTGAAATCACTCCCCATATAATGCTGTAATATGATTCAGAGTAGGATAAAACAGGTACATACAGGGGATACCTGAAGAATTCTGGGAGTAGGACAGTAAAAAAACCTGCAGTATATTCAGCCAAGACATTACTGTGATGACTAACTCTCCTTCGCAATAGAGAATATTGTATAAACTTAGCAATTAGCAGGAGTTAGGAAGAGTTCACATATGAGGTGGGTCATTCAAAATGTTCATTGAAAAAGGAATTGAAGGATAAGTTTATTTTGGCACAAAAAGAAATCCATGCCCAGGTTTTTAATAATTTTCCATGAACTTTTTGGAGACCTCTCCTATTTTTCTCTTGGTGGTGGCAACAGGGAATATTTCAAAAGCTAAGAGAGGTATGTTTGTTGAGGTAGAGATTCATCATCATTCAATGATTAATTTATTAATTTCAGAAAGCTGTCAGATATGAAAGCTACAGAAACTTTAAAATCATTTTCTGCCACCTGAAAAAAATGTGGCTCTGTAATAACTAACATGCCGGGTACAGTAGTTTGATTGTTGATCTAATCATGCAGATTAATGTGTTAGTGAAATTATGTGTAACATTGTGAGTATATAATAAAACAGAGCCTAGAAAGGATGGATAACCCAGTTATTAGAGATCTGTAATGGCCTAGAAGCATCATTTCAACAGAAGGGTTTCACTAAAACATATTGAGTAGTTTATTTTAACCAGTAAAATACATTATTCAATTAAAGGGAACACAAACTTGACTTGATTTTTGACAGGATTTAGATATATTAGTGAGCAGATGGAAACACTTTCATTAGAAAACTCAGGTTTCTGTATCTATCATTTCTGCCTTGTTTCAACTATTTTTTTACTCATAAAGAATCTAGGCTACTGTTTTTTACGTAGGTTTTTATATGACATTGTTTACATTGTACATCATATAAATGATTGCCTTCAGTGGCACAGAACTTCAGCAGAGTAACCATGACTGTTAAATTGACCCCTTTTACTGCACTGGAATGATTTCTGGGAAAGCCATTAAAATAAACATTTAAATGAGAGTTTTCTAACCCAGCTCCTGGGACTCCTGGAGGCTGGCTGTGGATGAGTTTTGCGGGTGAAGGGGCTGTCTCAAATCACATGCAAAATGTGTGTGAGTATTTTTATTTCTGGGCAATCATCAGATTCTACAAGTAGGTGTCACCTCAGATGCAACAATATTCCCTATCCCAATATCTTAACTATTAACATCAGAAATTCTGTCACTGGAAGGTCATTTGAGTTGCACATTCCTTTTTTCTAAGATCCTCTTAAAAAAGTTAAAATTTCCTCAGGAGAGACAACATATTTAGTCCCTAAAATGTCTATGAATTGATTTCCTATGACATTTTGGGCCCTCAACTCTATGCTAATTTACATATAATCAGGTTATTGAATCATTACAACAATCTTGAATCAGAAATTATTATAATCTTAATTTTATGTGTGGGAAAAATGAACAGAGAAGTAACTTCCAGCAGGTTATGTACACAGGCCATAATTAGCAGACCCACCAGACTATGCCTCCCTTAGTCTCAGCCCTATACTAACACCATGAAAGTCCATGCAATAAGGAGAGACGTACTTACTTTTATCAGGCGCAGTATCTCTGGGCAATCTTTAGCATCTGCAGTTCTTATGCCGACAGACTTCCAGGTTGATTGCCTTGAGCCTGAGTGCCTCCTTTCTGATTGGTTCTGCCCTAGCAGAGTTGGACCTGATAGGCACGGACTTGATTGGCTCCTGCCTGGTTTGATTTGGTAGAGTCGACTCAGGCACGTTTGGCACCTGAGTAATTGATACGGGTTTGGTTGACTTGGGCCTGCTTGACTCATGTATGGTTGACTTGGGCCTGCTTGGCTTACGTACGATTGACTCAGGCCCTCTTGACTCATGTACGGTTGACTCTGACCCGTTTGACTCACGTACTGTTGACTTGGTCCTGCTTGACTCATGTACGGTTGACTCTGTCCTGCTTGGCTCACGTACGGTTGACTCTGACCCGTTTGACTCACGTACGGTTGACTCCGGCCCTCTTGACTCACGTACGGTTGACTCCGACCCGTTTGACTCACGTACGGATGACTCTGTCCTGCTTGGCTCACGTATGGTTGACTCCGGCCCTCTTGACTCACGTACTGCTGACTCCGGCCCTCTTGACTCACGTACGGTTTACTCCGGCCCTCTTGACTCACGTACGGTTGACTCTGACCCGTTTGACTCACGTACGGTTGACTCTGACCCGTTTGACTCACGTACGGTTGACTCCGGCTCTCTTGACTCACGTACGGTTGACTCCGGCCCTCTTGACTCACGTACGGTTGACTCCGGCCCTCTTGACTCACGTACTGCTGACTCCGGCCCTCTTGACTCACGTATGGTTTACTCTGGCCCTCTTGACTCACGTACTGTTGACTCTGGCCCTCTTGACTCACGTACGGTTGACTCCGACCCGTTTGACTCACGTACGGCTGACTCTGTCCTGCTTGGCTCACATACTGTTGACTCTGTCCTGCTTGACTCACGTACGGTTGATTCCGGCCCTCTTGACTCACGTACGGTTGACTCCGACCCGTTTGACTCACGTACGGATGACTCTGTCCTGCTTGGCTCACGTACGGCTGACTCCGGCCCTCTTGACTCACGTACTGTTGACTCGGGCCTGCTTGACTCACGTACGGTTGACTCTGACCCGTTTGACTCACGTACGGTTGACTCCGGCCCTCTTGACTCACGTACAGTTGACTCCGGCCCTCTTGACTCACGTACTGTTGACTCCGGCCCGTTTGACTCATGTACGGTTGACTCTGTCCTGCTTGGCTCACGTACGGTTGACTCCGGCCCTCTTGACTCACGTACGGTTGACTCCGGCCCTCTTGACTCACGTACTGTTGACTCCGGCCCGTTTGACTCACGTACGGTTGACTCTGTCCTGCTTGGCTCACGTACGGTTGACTCGGGCCTGCTTGACTCACGTACTGTTGACTCCGACCCGTTTGACTCACGTGCGGTTGACTCTGTCCTGCTTGGCTCACATACTGTTGACTCTGTCCTGCTTGACTCACGTACGGTTGACTCTGTCCTGCTTGGCTCATGTACGGTTGACTCGGGCCCTGCTGCCCCTGGTATGGTTGACTTGGACCCGCATGACTCACATACGGTTGACTTGGACCCGTTTGACTCACATACTGCTGACTCCGGGCCACTTGACTCACATATGGTTGATTCGGGCCTGACTTATTTGATCCTGGTTGCCTTGTACCTGATTGGCTCCTTACTGGTTGTCCCGTACCTAATTGGCTAATGCCTGGTTGGCTTGCCCCTGGTTGCCATGTGCCTGATTGGCTTGGGACTAGTTCTCTCAGGGCTGATGGTCTCATTCCTGGTTGGCTTGTAGTTGGTTGGCTTGCATCTATTTTCCAGGTTCCTGATCGTTTCCGGCTATGCTGTTTGTCCTGTTGGCTCCTGCTTGCTTGCTTCGTATCTGGTTGGCTTGGACTTGGTTGATTGACATCTGGTTCCCTTTTGCGAGGTTGGCTTGGACCTGCTTGTTTTATATCATGTAGGCTTGTTTTTTGTTGGTTCATGTTAGATAAGTGTGATTGGTCTGAGCCTGATTGGACCATGTGCCTGGTTGATTGAGGATGGCTTGGCCAAGGATTGGTTGATTTATGTACTGATTAGTCAAAGTTTGGTTGGCAGATGATGAGTTGGCAGAAGACTGCTAGGTAGATGACTGTCTTGATGTAACAGGATCTCTTAACTACTGTACTGTGGTGGAAAGCGTCCGGTTGTTTCCAGTTTTTTCACAACTTGATTCGCACTTCAAGCTACCTCTCTATCAAGGTGGGAATCAGGTAAAGAGAGGACTACCTGAGGAAGGTTATAGACACCTCGGGCTTGCTAGAGTTGACATTACCGGTGACCACAGCAGCACACTTGATGTTGTCATCTAGCCTTCTCTGCCAACAGGGCGGAAATGAAGCAAAGAGGATGATGACTCTAGGGGAATGGAACTAGCTTAAGCCAACTGTGTCATAGTGATGACATCACAATGCTGGGGTCTACGTGCCTACGTGCTCCCCCTTGTGGTGAGGGAGGGGCAAGACAGGGCCCTCAGGACAGCCTTTTTATCTCCTAAGAGCTAAGGTGCAGCCAGAGGCTGGAAGGAGATTCAGAACTTATTTTTGGCACTCTCCATAAAAGTGCCTGCCGTTTTAATTAACCAACTTAAAGACACTTGCCCTTACTCTCCTCCTTTTCCCAATGCCCCAGTCCTCAAATAATTCACTTCCTATTTCTGTCCTGATTTTCACTTACAATATAAAGTAGAATGCTTAAAAGGGTTGTCCTGATGGTGTGCTCACGTCGTGAATACAGAAAATATTTCTATAAAAGTAACTCATAATAGCTACAGGCACCATTTACTGAGTTCTTTTATGACCCAGGCTCAATGGGAAGCACTTTACATTTTCTCATTCAATACCATAGCTAACCTATTATCCCTAGTTCTGAGGAAATGGACTCAAAAGATTTGGTAACCTGCCTGAGTACTTATGATAGCTGACAGAGAGAGCCTAAATTCAAACCCAGGTCTATCTAACTGCCTTTCCAGGATTTTTTTTAAACCATCCACAATCCTACCTCATATAAGCACTCTGTTCAGTCTCCTTCCCCATACCTGTAAGATCAGGTGGATCATTCTTTCATCATGCCCCCACAGAATTCCTTCTTCCATTATTTTATCTGTGGGCTCACTTCCTTAAAAATGTGTATTATGTAACTGGTACTCATGCTGTTTTAGATGGATTGTGTTTGATTTTTTTGAATATGCCAAAGAACCTTGGTTGAGGCTGTTCTAAGCCTCACACTATGCTAAGAGCTTTACATATACATTTTTTTTGATAGGCAGAGTTAGACAGTGAGAGAGAGACAGACAGACAGAGAGAAAGGTCTTCCTTTTCCATTGGTTCACCCCCCAAATGGAATCATCAGAGCATCCTTGTGAGATGTGTACTGCCATTTCCCATTTTTTTCAATAAATTGGAACTTGGAAATATTAACTGATTTCCCCGAGTTGAGTTCATGTCAGAATGGAGACAAAATTCAGGGCCCATCCCTTGGATGAAAGGGTTCAAATAAAACTAGAGAGCCCAATCACCAGTACACCTATGTTGACTATAAATGGTACCTAGAGAGCCCATATTCTTAGTGTGACAGGCAAAATCAAGTCACATCACAGAAATCTGTGCCAAGTCTAATACAAATTGGATGGAAATACATTGCTTATATTGATCTACCTTCTAATAAAAATGAGAGGTAAAATTTAATAAATGCTTCCTGTGATGCTAGGCTTGGTTTTAAGTGACATTTCACTTATATTGACTCATTAAATCCTCATAGTAATACAATGAGGTAGGTGATATTATTATCCCCATTTTGCAGGTGAAGAAACTGACATTCAGAAAGCTTAAGTAACTTGACATAGGTCACATGCCTAAAAATTCAGATAAAATGAGGAAAATCCAGTTATTTACTTTTTTTTTCTTGAAATGCCAGGAAAGAGGTGACATGATTTTGTTGTCTGATTTACAAAATCAAACAATTTTCATATGTGTTGTGGGAATAGATTTTTTTTCTTTATTGCTGGAGGGGGTATGTGTTAGGTTTCTAGTTGATGCCTTAAATTAAGGATAATATAATTAGAAAATGCAGTTTGGTGGTCTAGAACTGGCTAATGAGTTTCCTTTTATTTTTGACTCATGAACCTTTATATCAGTTGAAGACTGTTTAGATGTTTCATTTTTTGTTTTTTATTGCTTTTTAAATTTTTTTAAAGATCTACACTGAAGCTACGCCTATCGCTGGCCGCTTCGTACCTGGAACCTTCACTAACCACATCCAAGCAGCCTTTCAGGAGCCACATGTTCTGTGGTTACTGATCCCAGGGCTGACCACCAGCCTCTCTTAGAGACATCTCATGTGAGCTTGCCTACCATTGCTCTGTGTGACACAGACTCTCCTCTGTGCTATGTGGACAGTGCCATCCCATGAAACAACAAGAGCACCCACACAGTGGGTCTGATGTGTATGCTGGCCCCAGGAGGTTCTGTGCATGCATGATACCATCTCCTGTGAACACCCATGGGAGATTATGCCTGATCTCTGCTTCTACAGAAATCCTGAAGAGATTGAAAAAGAAGAGCAGGTTGCTGCTGAAAAAGCTGTGACCAAGGAGGAGTTTCAGGGTGGATGGGCTGCCCCAGCTCCCAAGTTTACTGCTACTCAACCTGAGGTTTCAGACTGGTCTGAAGGCATGCAAATTTCTCTCTGTGCCTATTCAGCAGTTCTCTGCTGAAGACTGGAGTGCTCAGCCCACCACTGAAAACTGGTCTGTAGCTCCCACTGATCAAGGCACCGAATGAGGAGGAACAAACACTGAGTGATCTCAAGCTGCTCTTTACAGTGTCTGAAGAAAAATGGAAATAAGGTTGATGGAAAATAAACATCAGTTTCTTTTATATATATATTAGAAATTATATGTATAATTTATAAAGTATATAATATATATGATTTATTTGAAAGGCAGAATCACAGAAAGAAAGGAAGAGACAGAGAGAGATTTTCCATCTGCTAGTTCACTCCCCAAATGGCTGCAATGGCCAGAGCTGGGTCAATCTGAAACCAGGAGCCAGGAGCTTCTTCCAGGTCTCCCATGTGGGTACAGGGGCCCAAGCACTTGCGCCATCCTCCGCTGCTTTCCCAGGCACATTAGCAGGGAGCTTGATTGGAAGTTGAGCAGCCGGGACTTGAACCGGTGCCTGTATGGGATGTGGGGAATGGGCTGTATGTGGCAGCTTAACCTGCTACATCAGCCCCTCATGTTTTATTTTTAAAGAATATTGTTTGAACATTTGCAATTGTGATTTTAAGGGAACACACAAAAATATATATTCCTGCTTGCAGTTTCTTATTAGCACATGCTGGAGGTTTAGAATGAGGCTGCATTCGTCACCCATTCAAAAATCCACTGTAAGTGGTGTAGCCCTAGGGAAAATAGTTTTTTACAATAAACAAGTCTATAGTCAGTCCTTGCCACAAGGTGGCAGTGTTGTCCAGCTTAGGAATCAAAAGTCTAAATGATATTTCAAGTTAGGATTTCATAAAAATGTACATATTATTCGAATTTGATGTTTTCTTTCTTTCCAGATATAATAAGAAAGTTATAAAAATCTACTTTAATCTTAACACAATTTTTTATTCAAAATCTAGCCTAGGGGCCGGCACTGTGGCCTAGTAAGTAAAGGCGCCGCCTGTGGTGCCGGCCTCCCATATGGCGCTTGTTCAAGTCCCGGCTGCTTCACTTCTGAACCAGCTCTCTGCTATGGCCTGAGAGAGTAGTAGAGGATGGCCCAAGTCCTTGGGCCCCTGCACCATCATGGGAGGTACGGAAGACCTTTCTCTCTGTCTTTCCCTCTCACTGTCTGTAACTCTACCTCTCAAATAAGTAAATAAAGTCTTAAACAACAACAACAACAAAAAATCTAGCCTAGTGAATATTTTAAGCCAATACCTGTTAGATTCTAACTGTCCAGAATGTACATATTTTGTTCATTTTAGCTAAATATTTTTGGATTAATATTAATAGATCTGCAAATATTGATATGTTTGTGCATTTAAAATCTAATGACTGCACTAAAATCTCTTTTCAGAATGTGCTAAGTAAAAATCTAGTACAGTATTGTGAATTCCATCTCCAGTTTGAGTTTCATCTAAATGAATCCTTACAACTGGGGAAAGTATTTGTATAATTTGCGTCCATAGAAAGGAGAGCTTAAATTTGTGGGGATCTTCCTACACCTCAGAGCCAGTGTATTTTCCTCTGCACTTTAAGTTGATAGGCTTTTTTTTTTTTTAAACCCTGTAGGATACAAACAGGAAGCAAAGAGACAAAGGGAGGGAAGGGAAGTAAGAAGCAGCTTTGGCGGAGAAGGAGGCTCGAGGCAAAGGTCCAGACTGGAGTAGAGTTCACAAATTGGGTGAGTTTTGGGGATAAAAACTTAAAGTATTTTGGAGACATTCATCAATAATCACTTACTTTTTTTAAAAGATTTATTTATTTAATTGAAAGTCAGAGTTGCACAGAGAGAAGGAGAGGCAGAGAGAGAGAGAGAGAGAGAGAGGTCTTCCATCCAATGGTTCACTCCCCAATTGGCTGCAACAGTCAGAGCTTGGCTGATCCAAAGCCAGGAGCCAAGAGCTTCTTCTGGGTCTCCCATGGGGGTGCAGGGGCCCAAGGACTTGGGCCATCTTCTACTGCTTTCCCAGGCCATAGCAGAGAGCTGGATCAGAAGTGGAGCATCCGGAACTCAAGCCAGTGCCCATATGGGATGCCGGCACTGCAGGCAGTGGCTTTACCCACTGCACCACAGTACTAGCCCCTCCATATAGCATTTTTAAAATGTACTGTTATTCAACAAATGTCTATTAAACATCAACCATGTGCCAGACTGTTTAAGGCCCCGTTAAATATTTATCAAATGTAGGGACTAGGGCAAAACTTCATGTGCATAATCCCATTTAGTCC